CATCCTACCAGAAGATGACATTCTACCAAGATTCTCAAATCTACCACATACAAAACATGAATTATGAGAAGATTTCATCAGAACTTTGAGAAAAGTGGGATCATGATCTTCTTCGAATGCTTGTACTTCTGGAATAATACTCAAAAAACAGTTTTGACCTATCCTTGTATGTAGGTCTATTGGTATTTGTGGTAGTTGTAATGCGGTTCTACGACGTTCAGCAATAGCTTTATTTGCTTCACCCAAACGAACCATTTGCCAGGGAATTCCATTATACTCACATACATAGCATTCAAATCTGCGAAATTTGCCATTTTTACTTGATCGGTACACTGTATTTCATTTTTTTTATGTTCTGGTTCCCACAAAAAGAGATATCCTGTAATGTTCAGAAAACATCGTGAGAACCATGGGAAATAAGGTAGGAATTAGTGTTCTTCCTAAATTTCTGGAGGTTATATGCTTCGGGGAACACCTCCCTTGGCAATGTATTCCAGAGCCTCGCTGTTCGTTGGATGAACGAGTCTTTGAAAAGAGATGTTCTGCAGGTCTCCAAAGTGACCATGAAGGGGTGCGAGCCTCAACTCGACGGGTTAATCTCGCGGGGACTGCCAAGGGAGGAACAATTGTTGATATTTCAGAAGAGCATCGTCCATGAAAATATCTATAAAATAGAGCCAGATCGCCAACTTTTCTACGGTGTTCCAGAGAAGTGAGTGCGATTGTGAGCGAGGCATCACCCACGACACCAATTGCCATTTTTTGGACAGAATCCAACAGTTTCAGGGTATGTTTGGGTGCTGCACTCCAAATATGGGAACAGTATTCCTGGACAGGTCCGATCTGTGCCTTCTATAGATCACAAGCAGCTGACTGGAAGTGAAATAGCTCCTGGCCCGAAACAAAAAAAACAAGTTTTTGGGATGCACTTTTAGCAATTGATCTCACATGATTTTCCCAAGAAAGGTTATTGCTGAATAGTAATACCAAGCATCGAAATGGATGTCTTCAAAGGTATGGTTACTCCTGACAAGCTTATGTTAGGCCCAGTGAGATAGGCTTTTCTAGAGAAAAGGCATGCTTGTGTTTTGTATAAGTTTGTTCAACTTATATCGCGAATCAATAGACAACAATCCAAAACCTGCTGTGAAGTGATGTCAACTATGACATTGCTTCCAGAGCCACCTAGTATTGCATTTATAATGAAGGGTAAATATTATTGTATTTTTTGTGCAAGTCACAGTATTGCTCAATTCGCAATGGAGTTTTTTCTACTATCAATCAAGGTTTGAGTAGGAATGTCATTTTGCATTTTCCCTCTTTAGTATCAATAAATGAGCACAAGTAATAAAGTTCACAAAATATTCAATATCTGCAATCCTGACCCTCATCAACTCACTCTTTGAAGAAATACACATTCAGCATTTTTTGACGAAGTTATAAGGAATATTTATCTAAAGATGATAATGGATACTGTTATTACTGATATGTGCTACTATTATAGAATAACGTGTCGATAACGTTCTATATCTCCTCCTTCTATACATGCATGGTGAACATTGAATATGGAAAAAAATAATTGAAATGCGACACGTAACAGTATCATATTTTATCTCACCCATAATTGCTGGAAGACACTGTATAATTCTTGACCAACAGCAACAATATTGAAGAAACTTCTTGTAGTGAATTATCTTATCAAAACATAAACAAGGGCGGATCCAGTTCTCGCCGCAGGGGGGGGGGTCACGATCTTCAAAATCAAAATATTTATACAGTACTTTCGTAAAGTACTGGATAGAATCATTTTCAGCTAGACTATTCATTTTTTATCACCACTCAAACGTGAATCACCCTGAACATTTAATTTTTTCTCACATGATTGAAATCAATAGTCAACCTATATCAGGACAATCTTCAGACATGGATAGTTTGGTTTGTGTTGAAATTAATATGTTCAGTAGGTAGTTTACGAAAGCCCCGTGTATTATATACAGGGTTTTTCCTGAACATCCGTGATTCCTGAGGAATTTTAATGAAAAAAGTGTCTATACACATTTGTTAATACATCCTGAATACGACTTTTCCTCAAAATTTCCGAATCCACTTATTCAAAAATATTGAAAATGGGTAAATCGCATGAACTCTCAATGCTGAATCAGAATTCGAGCTTAGAATATCTGAATCTCATTCAGTGTCGTAATATACTGGATGGATGTAGGGTTAAAACAATTAAATTTTTTATGGTTTTTTAGATGAAATATAATAGAAAATTGCAATTTTCTAGAAATTAACTATAGCCCTATCGATTTGAAGTAGGGGTACCTTGTTGTGTGAAGAGCCTTCAGGTAGCTATCATATTCTGAAATGAGATATTTGAGGAAATTAAAAAAAAAAAATTATTGTTTTACCTTCAACTCATCGAGTATAGTACGTTCCTGACTGAGATATTGAAATTCTGAGCTCAAATTCAGGGTCAGCATCAGGGTGTAACTAAGAACTCATGGCAAAAGCTGTCAATGCTGTCAATGAAGATCTTGCTAAAATTACAGCCTGGGGAACCAACAACCTAGCTGAATTCAATGCCATAAGTACCTACAAGTACCTAGGGAGGATAAGGAGAGGTGGTAAGTGTTGGACATATATCGGTTTACTCAAGTACAGAGAGTTTCATTTCCCAAACTGGTACTGGTACTGGTGGGGGACGTTTCCACGTCAGCAACTAGTCCTCAATGGGACCTTTTTGCAAACCCCAAGTGTTTTCAATGACTGATGTGGTTCGCTCAAGAGAGCTGGCTAACATCCTTTTCAGGCACCGCCCATCAGCTCTCTTTTCAGAGTTTTTCAGCTGTGTTTTGTAGGCTAGTAATGTACTCACTACCATATGCGCAGTGGCAGGCCTGCTAACTATCCTCGTTAACCCCCGAGACCGAGGTCTACTTAAGCAGCTGGCCCGCTCTCACGCTCAGCTGGTAGTTTTCCACACCCACCTACATACACCGTCGTACTTCTTCTCTGATGCTCACAACCACATCATCATATCTTTCTGCGTGTTCTGTGTAGGCTTTGTTACTAACTCCATGCGCCACTTTAGGAGCAGCACTGTTAATTGGAACGCAACAGTGAATCGTGCAGCACTATCCCCAGCCGATGCTCCGAAACTTTACAATATTTAATTCGTAAATAAAATATTGAAAAAAGTTCCTTGCCCGTGCTTGGACTCGAACCCACGACCTTGCGGTCGTGAGACGGACGCTCTTCCACTGCGCCAATCCCGACTTCATTTCCCAAACTTTGAGACGTCCTCATTATATTATAGGATGGAGATTCAGCTTTGTGTCCCGTGATTCTTTGGTTGAGGGATATTCATTATGAGCAAAGGTACTATATGTATGTGCCTCACGGCTGACAACGCGAGGTTGCCGCGAAAAAAATTTCATTGAATCATTTCTTCACGCTCCCGGGCCCTAGGCGACCGCCTAGTCCAAGGATTTCTCGCAACTCAGATGGTTCTAGTAGGTTATATGGCATTATTCGCGATAGAAAATAAGCGTACGCCACCTATCGAAGTTCTTGAAAGCTGTCAATGCGGCATGTTTACCTTATTTTCATTGGTTCACATTCATTTTTTGTTAGTGCTTATTGGTAATATCATCAAAACAAACCGCTTAGAAGTCTTCAAATTGTTGCCGTCAGCTGGGACGACCTGTTATTTTCTATCGCGAATTGCGAACAAACGGTGTCTCCACTATGTCGACCCTTCTATGCGTCGCAACTCAGCTACTCGCTTGGCTTTTTGGCTTGATGAGAGGTTTTTGATCATTTCACCACCCAAATAGAGAGTTAAGACAGTTTTAATATAAAATTGACAATCATTTATCAAATGGGAAAGTCATGAATAAATGCTCCCACATGGCAGGTTAGCACAGAAAAGCCAAATAAAACAGAACACAAAATAATTCAGAGAGAACACATAAAAATTAGTACTTACATTGTGAGTTATTGAATTATGAGCGAATTATTAATTAATGTCATGCCTTATCGATTCGGTTATTATTTATATTTGAAGTCGGTGCTAGGTTTGCAATTTTCCTTGGTATTGCTTTCTTAGGTAGTTTCGCATGGTAAGCGGTTTACAAATATTACAGGAACTGAATGAACTCCGCTGACCGGAACGAAACTACACTGTACTGGATGTTTTTATTTGGAAAAGTCAATTCATGATTAAAGATCCAGTTTGAGTGATGGTATTCCATAGGCATTTATACTTCTTGACAGATTATACGACTACAATCCTTGGCCTAGTCCACCTGATGGTTGAAACGACAATAAATTATTTACTTCTTGTAGTTGTAACTGCGTCGGATAATACTGCGAGTTGATGAACGATCCGATTTCTGTGGGAAAATATCGGTTTACTCGATTATATATGGGCTCAGTGATGGAAAATATTTTCTCGAACACTTGCTGATTCACCCCACTGTGCCGGGGATTTCGGCCACATGAAAGTTGGCACAGTTGTTTTTTTGTGTTTATCTAGTATTTATCTCTATTTTTGTTAAAGGCTTTTTTCCGGGGCGAAAAGGTAGTTGACGCGATTTGCTACCCCTTGTGCCAGGCAGGATGTGACGCGGCACAGTGAGTTTTTTTAGTCGTACTCATGTCGGAAGACAGGTAGATATTGAAAGAAAAGCGCGCCTGCTGATCAATTAATAATAAATACTTTCGTTGAGATCTGCTCCGGCACAGTTGTCGTTTTGTGGATATATTTTCATGACCAACCTTGCAGGAAACTTAAGAATCGTCCGGGGGTTCAAGGTATATAAACCGTCTATAGCCGAAATGATGAATCATATATATTCTCTTCTCTAAGTTAACACCCTATTACCTAGGTACTCTCTTGAAGAAAGGAAGGAGAACAAATTCACCTTAATCGACATATCTGATTAATACAAAATTCTTGGCATCATCTCAGTCATACTGAATTCGATGACACTCACCTGAGCATTCACCTCCAAATTGGGCGGCAAACTAGACCAAGCAGGATTTTTTTCCATGCAAATTAGCCTCAATTGTTGTCGAATATCCGCTTTTTCTCTGAAATAAAGAATATTTTATATTGGTAATTTATGGAATCAATAAAACAGGTCTATCACCTAGCCCTTTTCCTTTGAAATTCCTCTTCGACTTTCTCCATGGCTTCCAATTCTTGAATTCTCTTCTGCTCTCTCCTCTCAGCTTCTCTAGATAATTTATCCGATAACCTCCGTTTCTCTATTTGCCTGATTGTGCTTTGGAATGTGAATTTCTTCGGCTTCCTAGTCCCCAATTTCCAAGAATATTCCTCCTTAGCAGAGTCCTGAAGGGGTTCCGGAGCTCTCTTGACTCCCACCGATAGATCCTCGCAGGATTGCGAATGTCCCAAGGAATAATGACTCCTGCTACTCCAGACATCTTCCATCCTTCTGTTAGCGCGATTCAGTTCTATCTCGGGCAGATACATCATCCGTGCTTGCTTATTCACATTCAGAAGCTGAAGCTGCTCTTGATCATTCGCCTTGCGCATCTCCAGGGAATGGAAGGCATTGTTCAGGGAGTTTGGGGCTGACTTGCTCAAAAACCAGTTAGCGCTCACCTCGTCATTGAACTCTGCCTCAACGACGTCTTTTTTGCTCGACAAGTTGCCTAAGACACCTGACAGGGACTTCTTCAGTTTCTGTAAGCCGCTGTACTGCAGAGAGGATCTTTCGATCATGTACGCAGCCAATTGGTTGTCTCTTGGCAGCGACAAACTAAAAATGTGGGGACCTGAGCGGATTCGAGGGTTGGGAGCTGAAGATTTCTCGTTTTTGCATTCTTCAATGCTAGAGTCGTCGCCTAGGTCTTGTTGAGGGGTCCATGATGATCTTTCTTGGGGATTGATATAGTGCGACATCTAAAATTGGTGAGGAATATGAACTTATAGTGGAACTTCGTCCACGCATGTACAGAGTTTGCTAGAAGGTGGGGCATATATATATAAATAGGATGCAAAACTCGTATGTATGAACCAGGATCACACACAATCACCTATACAGAGCGTTCCCTGAATATATCATCAAAAAAATTGTGGGGTAATTTCTGAGGTATTTGTCCCTTGAAATGGTACACCCTGAAGACGGGTTTTCCACAATATTTTCAAAACCGTTCATCCAAATATTATGAGATTTGATCAAATGCATAATTTTTTAATACTAGAACAGAATTTGAGCTCAGAATTTCAAAATTTCCTTCAGAACGTACCATACTGGATGGATGAGGGTAAAATCAATCTCTTTTTTTTTCATGGTATTTTTTTTCACGTTTTGATTTCACAATGTGATACCTGAAGGTGTTCTACCTAAAAATAGTACTACTACTGCAAATACCTAGGGCTAGTATAGTTTTCGAGAAAATCGCTATTTCTTCTCAATATTTACTCATTAATGTAAGGACAAATCAGATGATTTCAACTGAACATATTCCACACAAGGTGGAGTCTGGAAATACATTCAATTCCTTCACTGAAAGTTCAGAGCAAGATTCCCTTTTTCGCTGGAAGTTCTACACTCTAGCAATTTTGACATCAGCTCCGTATAAATTTCCATGCGGAAAGCACAATCACTTGGATTTCGATTATTTAATTGCCTTGAAGTGGTATTCCCAACTTTTTTCCAATTTTCGTTCAATTATCGCGATGAAATATCTCGTTAAATCAGGAGACTTTGGAAAAATCAAATGTGCTTGGAAAATACGTTTTAAACTGTATCATAACTGATCTGTTCGATATGTACTCGTTTCAAAATTACCTTGTATATATGTGAAGCTATGTCAAAACCTTATTCAGGAACTTCATTAAATTTCAATTTAAAACACAATAGTGTTTGTAATCGTTGTCTTTGAATGCCTTCATTTTTCATTTCAATGCAATGGGCAATGGGGGCCAGGTAGCCACATGGTAGGAGCATTAGTATTTCAATCGCGAAGGCTTGCCGGTTGTGGATTCAAATCCAAACAATTGATGCAGACATTTTTCTCTTGGCCCAAGAAAGTATTTGATGGGATCACACGTTGAAAGGTGAGGCCCCCGTCTTTCCTTATTACTCGCACAAGTCTCTTGAACACTTCTGAGGGTTGCTCTAAAGGGGGCAACTGAATGATGGATAAGAACAATTTCAGAACAATTCTTTAGAACAATCGAATATCACGATGTCGATGTGTGAAGGCATATTTTTCAGTTTCAGCGCCCCTAATGTGTAGAAGGAAAGTAATTGGAGAGAATAGCGGTAAATTTGATTTACAATAAATGCCATTGCTACTACAGATGAGCAAGAAAGAACGATTTTAAAACAATTTAAAATGCTGTTCACATAGCTCAATCAATATTCAAAGGATTTTAGAAGTGGTACCTCATTGATATGGTTTCAATTTAGAAATATCATGTACCTACTACAGGGACTACTAAAAACACAGCCGTTAAAAATGATTGTTATGATACATGGCCATCGAACGTTAGTGTTCGGTGACGTGGCGGTACAGAATTGTCTCCCGATGGTTCTAGGACTGATAGTATAGTTAGTAGGAATACACAAAAATCCCATGCACTTATTTGCAGAGATAGTTAATATTTCTATTTCTGCAAAATCATCTGACAGCTCTGCTATATAAAATATGCTTTCGAATATAAAATTCACGAAAATATTTGGGAATATAAAGGTGTTAGTGTGTGAGTGGAGATCTAATTACAAGTACCTACCAGAGAGTATTAAAATACTGTGAATAGAATTTAAATACTGATCAGTATTCATGTAAACACAAATGATGCTCATTTCTGTATACAGGGTGAATAACGTTCGTATACTTCGGAAGATAATTCAACTGATCAAAATAATATAAAATGTTTCTATCAACATTTTTCTAATTTTTAGTATACCTACAAAACCTGATTTTTCATACTCTTGTTAGAATGAATAAAACCGAACCGTTTTCGAGAAAATAGTGAAATTTTTCATTTTGATGTCCGAAAAAATTCACAATAAGTTTGAGCATTTGGTCTAATGATAAAAAATGTGGATCTGATAACTACATTTTTGAATTTTCCGAAATTTTGTTTTATCAAAGTTTTCGGGCATCAAAATTAAAAACGACACATTTCTCAAGAACGGTCCGTTTAACGGCATCCTGACAAGAGCATCTTATTTTAGTAAAGGCGGTTGAAGAATCATATTCTTGGAACTAAAAATGATGTTAACTGTACCGGTAAAGAATTCGCACCATCTTGTATATTAAATCATGTTTTCCTTACGACGAAACTGCTCGTTAAATTGAATTACCCTTGAGTACAAAATTTTATGATTCTGAGATTGATAGTAACTAAGATAATCAAAGAAAATTGCAGTTTCGAACCTACCTTCAAAGGGCTGTTGCGCCCTTAGGAAGCATTTCAGGAAACATGTTGAATGGAACATTTCTCTTTATTTTTATCTGCAGTTTAACCTTCCGGAGTATACTTACGTTGTTTTAGAACACCCTGTATATAGGTATTTGTAGAAAAGTATATGAAATTCTAAAAATATTGATTTCGAGCCATTCCATTGCCTTCATAACTACTGCAAAAACCTCATTTCTGCTCAAGAGGAATCTCATATTCCCACTTGATAATTTTCAGTATCTCACCACAAAAGTTTTCATTTTTCGAAAATTTCTAAAATTTTCATGAGAAAATCATTATAACATTTAAAAAATGAAGGGTTTAGTCTCATTTCGATAAACCAAATGTGTATAAACCAAATCATAGCTCGTGTGCAACACCAATATTCCATCCATTGACCCTTGTATATACTCATAAAGAAGGCTTCGGAATATAATCTAAGCTTTCATCATGTCAGCTCAACTGTAAACCAATTGAAATTCATCTCAAATTCATTGTGATTCATTACACTTCGTGCAAATGATATGGAGTGTGTCAGAAATGAGTTCAAAGAAAATGATAACTTCGTTTTTGAATGTAATATCAGCCAGATATTTCGGAAGACAAAATTGGACCACCGTGTAAATAGAAATAAACCAAATACCGTGAATTTAACCTGTTGTTCTTGCAGAATTCCACCTTCGTTGTTATCATCATAAGCTCCATTTGGTATAGGATCATCACCAGATATACCAGAATCTCCTGATTTGTCATTACTCGACCTGTGCCCTGCATGAATCATGGGCGGCGGGGGCCTTGCAAACTTCTCTATCCGCTCCTCTAATAAAATGGAAACGTCATCACTAACCACAGTTCCACCAGTTCTTTCACTAGCATCCATAGACAACAATCTCCAAGCTGCAGCAGGAGAGAACTTCGGTATTTCCAGTTGCTTTTTGGGCAAAATAGGTCTGAGCTGCAAGTCCAGTCCGGATTTGTACATGTCATTTTCATCCGAGTGGATGTCACTGGATATGTCGGATGCAGAAGACATAGGCAGCTTCGTGTTTTGATGGAATGAGTTAGAGAACGCGTTGAATATATCATCATGATACTTCGTATCAGGTACTGGTTCTTCGTTCATGCCAAAGTAGAAAGTTTTTGGTTTCTCCCTGGGATAATCGGCTTTTTTCTTCAGCTCCGGAGACATTTCTGGGGTGGTAGATTCCTTTCCAGAAGCCTCGCCTCTTACACAGTTAGCCATCCGGTTTTTACTGTCGTCGATTTTCTCAATGAGTTTTTCCTTGGTCGGCGATGCCTTGGTTTCTACATGTCTTAAGCGTGTTGTAACCGTTTTCAGTTCTTCGAAGAAATCAAGTTTAATCTCCGGTAATGACAGGCGATTGGATTTTGAGGTTCTGAGACCATTCAAGGGGATGTCTATGGGGATGTCTGAATTTTCCACGTTTTCGTTGGTTTGACTAGATTGTTTCTTCATTTCAGCTCTGGTTTTGAATAAACGCGCTTTACGAATTGGCATAATGTGTGGATTACTGGTCCCGTTCCAGTCTAAGTAAGGCCGGTCAGTCTGAAAACAATCTCTGGTTTGATAACACAAGAATGAAAGTATATTTCACCACAGATGAAAAAACTGTCCATCAAGAATCCCAGACAGCTCTGGATATTCCTAGAATATTCTCTAAGTATGTTAGTAAAGAGGAATATATTCCGATTATCCACTGAATATTCCTAGAAAACATGCATGCCTCTAGAACATCCCAGAAATATCCCAATCTAAATATTTTTTATCCATTTTTCTTATTCCTTGATGAAGAATATTCCAATGGGACTTTTATCAGAATGTTCCAGAAGAAAAATTCCAATGTGAATATTCTCTCAGAATATTCCAGTTGGATCTTTGAGGGAATACTCAGGTGTATGAATCAATTGAATATTCTGTATTGTAAATTCATGGATAATTTCATGATTATTCCTATGTATCTCATTGGAATTGTATATTATGATCCCCAATATCTATTTTAGAGTATGAATCATACACTTTCCCAAGAAACTAACTCACCACCAAAAAGTAGCCAGAAGTTTAAGATACATTTTCGTCATGACAAGCTGTTCGATTTGGAATTTTTTTTTTCGATTTGGACGATTTTTTTTCAATGACATGCCATCTTTTTCTGAACATCATCGGTGTGCGAACTGTATTTGCATATTTTTGATACATACTGGGAGTAGCAATATGATGTGTTTCTTTCATGGAATTTGTAATATACAGGGTGATCCACGGTGGATCGCCTATTAGAAGTATCTGGAGAACGAAAAGTCAGAACATTCTGAAAATTGGGATGCTTTGATAATTGAACATTTTCTGTCCGTCTAAAATATTTTCATCCATACAGTGTTGCCACTTCTACCAGAAACAACTAGCAACTTTGTTATTTCAAATGGAACACCCTGTATTTTATAGTATTTTCAGATTATTCCTGAAGAGCTGATTTCATCAATGCATCACACTTGAGGTCTAGCAGGAATGATTACGTAGATATAGGGTGTTTAAAATCGAGATTTTTCAATTTTAGTATTTTTTTGTGTCGAAACTATTCATTATCGATCAAAACGACTTACATGTCCCTATCTTAACTTTTGATCCACTATCTACTGGAATTTAATTGAAAAAATACAGGTTGCTTCAAGATTCAGAATTCTGATCACCCTGTATCTGTTCCAATTAAATGTTAGTAGATAGTGAATTGAAAGTTAAGATAGGGACATGTAAGCCATTTTGATCGATAATGAATAGTTTCGACACAAAAAAAATCGTAAAATTGAAAAATCTCGATTTTGAACACCCTATATATCACTGTAATCATTTCTGCTAGACCCCAAGTGTGATGCATTGATGAAATCAGCTCTTCAGGAAGAATCTAAAAATGCAATGAAATACAGGGTGTTCCATTTGAAATAACAAATTTGCTAGTTGTTTCTGATAGAAGTGGCAACACTGTATCGATGAAAATATTTTAGACGGATAGAGAATGTTCAATTATCAAAGCATCCCATTTCTCAGAATGTTCTGTCTTTTCGTTCTCCAGATACTTCCAATATGCCATCCACCGTGGATCACCCTGTATAATACCCTGTAGGTAGAGTGCACAGTTCTCTCGTCGAAATTGGCTGTGATTACAAAAAATATAGAAAAAAAAACTGAAAAACTATGAATACCGGGTATAGTAAATATAGCGTGTTTTTTCCATTAAATTTGTAGTACATTAGTTTGTAGTTACATTATTAAGTTAGAATTGAAATTACGCTTGAGCATTATCTTTTCTCAACACATCTTTTTCTGAGTTTACTTCATTATCTTTTCTATTACTTGAAAAACACCATTTAATAGCATAACATGATTTGATGGAAAATTGATATCCAGATTTAAAAACAAAAAAAACGAAACAGATTGCGAAGAAAGAAGAAGTCGAACAATAGTGTCAGTAGCGAATATTTCCGCCTCCGGCAAGAATAACCTCTTGGCTAGCATCATAATCTCCAAGCTCGTAAACCCCCAGACACCAATTTTGAATAGATTCGGATTATTATATATAATAACAAAACTCTTTAACCATATTGGATCCGCCATCTTGAATTTCCTAATTTTGACGAAAGAATCATAATTTCCAACCCCGAAAACACCCAAATACGAATTTTGATTACAATCGGGTCATAACTACAAAACTCGTTTGCCATATTGGATCCGACATCTTGAATTTTCAAATTTTGACAAAAGAATCATAATCTCCGATTCCAAAAACCCTCAGATACAAATTTTGAATAAATTCGGATTATAATTACAAAACTCGTTCGCCTTATTTGATCGGCCAGCTTGAATTTACAAAATTTTGATGAAAGAATGATTATCTCCGATCTTGGAAACCCCCAGATACCAATTTTGAATACAATCAAATCAAAATAACTAAACTCGTCCTCCATTTTGGAGCCGCCATTTTGTTATTTTGTCTAAAAATAATTTCACGATGCATTGTCACCCGAACTATGTATACCTGCCAAATTTCAAATCAATCGGGCCGTTTAAAGTGGGTCAAAATTGAGTCCAAAGGAGTAGGTTACATACATACATACAGGTGAAGCTAATCAAAGGGTGTTAATAAAAAAATCCAAATGGGACGAGATGTTCTGGCGAAAATGTACGTCAAACTTTTGGATAATTTTGCGTTAATTTTTTTAGGAAGTGCATATTATGTTTAACGAGAGTTTAAACAGAAAGTGTCAATGATAATGTGTTTTGAGTACACAACGTTTTGTGTGAAATTGATGTGTACGATATATTTTTCAAATCGATTACCTACTAATCTAGTGGTTAAGGCGTTCCTTTGACAATCTGAGTTTTTGGTCTCATTTTGGGTTAGATTTTTTTATTTGAGGATATGTTTAATGGAATATTCTAAGAACATTCTTCAATTCTTATTCCTATATCATCCCTGAAATATTTCGAATATTATCTGAATATTCCTGTACATTCTGGTATATTCTGAATATATAACTATAGAATATTTGTCTTATATTCTGGGGATATATATATATATATAAATATATATTCCGCCACACCAGCACATCCAGGGGATATTCCATCAAAGATATGTATATCCCTGGCATGTCCGAGAATATTCCAATATTCTAAATATAATATTCTAGGAATATTCATGGAATATCTGATGCTGTCTGGAAAGATACCTATACCTTATATATAATAGTGCGTTTATAAAGTATCGCATACATTCATTATTATAGCAGTTGAAAATTCCCGAAATAGGATGATTTTTGATTTTAATTCAGTTTTTCGAAATAATGATCTCATATATAGGGTGAACTTCTTTCGTGTGATGACGCCATTTTTCTTCAATGAAACACCCCATTTTTTATCGCTTACCGGCTAACCCTTTCTAGAGCATAGGTATATGTACTTTCTCATCAACGAGAGGGATTCATTTTTGTAGTTGAATATTTTGTTTATGTTTATTGTTTACTTCATACAATTAAGTTCGTACCTATATTTTCTACGAAGTTATGCAATTATTGTGATGCACTACCAAAAACAAATATACCTATTGTTTGTGTTTTGCGATTCAAACTGCGAGGACTAAGTAACTTTGCATGCTTGTAGTTCACAAACAGTTGTTCTTTTTGTAGAATTTGACAAGTTGATGGGATTTCACATTATTACTCGATCGCACTGTCATTAAAACTCGATTCACTAAAACAATATGACTGTCATTAACTATTGACATTCGAGTGAGCAATGAATGAATATCTCAATAAATGCCAATACAGAATATAATTATCTCGGGACCTGGAATCCCACTGCTGAAGCCTCTGGATGTCTTCTCCACTACCATGGTTTATAATTAGGTAGGTAGCTGTAATTGTGAAAAATGTGGCAAAAATAAACTCTTAAAAAAATAATACAAAGGTACGGCTTACCACTTGGGCATTCTGAAAGGAAAGTAATTTTCAAAAAGCAAGTACCTATAATTCTTGAATTTGAGAGCCTCTTACGCAGCTATTTGTGAGATAGTATAAGTGGAATTCCTATCACAAAAATGATCAAATTAAAACATATTTCATGGCAGATACAACCACCTAAAAACAATTCGAGGGAATCAATACGATTTTGACACTCTAGACAATTTTGACCCGATGGAGAAATCCAAGATTGAAAAAACTACAAGGTGTTTCAATCACTCAGTAAAAAAATTGACACCAACAAGTGCAAAAGTGATGAATTTGAATCTGTCGAAATTTCTAAAATTTCGAGTTACAGGTACAAACGTTCTTGTGGACACTCGATAAAAATACGAAGAAATGCATGCAGAAAGCAACATAATAAAGTGTTATGAACAGCTTTTTCATCAGTGTTTGATAAAAGGTGGATAGATATAATATTCATCATGAAAAAATATACAGGATATCTTGAAACGGTATCAGATATATTTCAGGAATTAACATCGATACATTTGGAGACAAAAAGTGTTCATCATTGTTATAACTTTTTTAATCCTGAAACTACGCACCTTCTGAAGTAGATCTTCGAAGATGCTCACGTCGAAGATATTTACCATAGGTAAACATCTTCTGAAGTGAGTTGTCAGTTGAAAATGGTAATTCTGTTGAGAACTGAATGAACGACATTGGTTAAATTATCAAACTTTTAGGATTTTTGCTGCTGATTACAATGGTGAAAACAGAAGAACAGAATTCAGCATCACGTTTTTGAGTCATGAATCCAAAGAATATTATTTTAACGAAACACTCTGTATATCCGTATTTTTTTCCATTGGACTCGAAATTCTGAGTATTTTTCATACAACATAACCTATTAGGCCGATGTGCAACTATTTGCGAGTTATTGACAGTTAAAACTCGTCAATTCTACTATTGTCAAAAATCTCAACTTCTCAATTTCAAACCAGTTGCACATCGGCTTGAGGTATTATATTGAATGTAGGTATCTACCTACTCACACGATCAAGTAGAATTCATGAAGAAGGATGGACCTCCATCCTTTCAAAGGTACGAATATAAATATATAGGGTGGTCAACTAAAAAAAGATATTTATTTTTCAATAACAAAAAAACAATTGATTTCGGTTTTCACTATTCTATAATCAGCCGAAAACATTCTGATAGTTTGCTATTTCAACCGATGTCGTAGTTTCAAATTTATAGAAGCATCCAATGACGAACACTTTCCTTTTCAATTGCATTTCCTCGTCGGTTCCAGCACTGCGACCAAACGACCCGAAAGTCTAAAATTGTTAGGGTTAGGTTGGGGTTAGGAAATAGTATATTATACGCCTAGGGTGAGAAGTGAACTATTATATAGCAAGACATTTTATATCAAGAGGCGTGAAGCGCCGAAGGATATAATGTGCGAGCTATTCAAAAGCATTCTCACTGATAAAACTGAGAAATCAACATCTTCTATCAATTCAAATTTATATTTCCATTGAAGGAGCAATGCCACTCACCGTGTATATGCAGTATTGTTCAACATAGTACTAGGATTTTGATATATCAAGTATATAGGAGTCAAACAAACTGAAAGGAAATTCGAGGTGGCTGTCAGAAAATAAAGGCAGTATTAAAATTCCAGGATAAATTGTGGATAACTTCAAAACCGCGTGAGAATTAAAGTGACATTCATTTTGATAGGAAGCTTGTACCCCGTCTGCATGAAGTTAGGAAGGAAAAATACAGTATTTATTGGTATGTTTTGAAATATTTAAACCTTATAAATATCGCACATAATACCAATGAATAATCATCAAGAAGTATAGGCATATCATAGGTTATTCATATCGTATCGACCGCCATAGCTGACATTGTTTTGATTGGTCAAAAAATGTATCCTTACCGAAAGTCATGGTTATATATTTGAATTCTAGGTCTAATTCACAAATGACAGTGACAGCTCACGTATAATTTGTTTTGTGACATTCTCATCAGAATTAATAATAATCAGATTTTTCCAAGCATTTTTCATACTTCAAAGGTTGCTTTCAGCTGTGATGAGGTTTGTAGTTTCATTTATATTATTTTTTTGAATGAATCATATTTGTTGGTTGCATACGATCGGTGTCTTGTGTTTATTGCATAATATTATTGACACTATCAACAGTTTTCTTCGACCTAGGTAAAATTTCTTTATCAATTCATCAATCATCATTATATTTATACATAGGTTTGAAAAGTGTTACTTCTCATTACAGGAAATCCTGGAATAATGGTGATTTCTCAGGTTCGTGGCAGAATAATATACATACACAACCCTCACGAAGTTAATTCTGCACTTATAAAAATGTTTTTTGGTGCTTACGTATTTTTGTCTGAAGAACACGAATTTGATAATGAAAATGTGAACAAACCATAATTATTAATATATTTCACTATGAACGTACAAATTTCCCTTTCTTTTCCTCCTTTTTCCTCCTTTTGGATCTCATTTAGAACAATTTCTTCTCCTTTTTTCATCATCGGACAATTTATATATCACGATGTACTTCAATAACACATTTTTTTAAATATAAGACTCAACTAGAAATTATTATTTTCATGCGATTTAACCATATTTGGAGTAAAGAAGGAAGAATGTTATTTAAAATAATAACGTGTGTAACCAATGTAATGTCATTCAAAAGCAATCTGTTGACATTTGACATCTCGTATTTGAATTGATTATTGATGAAATGGCCGTCATTTGGTATGATTGTTCATCACCCAGACAGCACACGAAGTCCCGAGGACGTACATATTACATTCGATTCGAGGCCGTACGTCCTGGAACTTAATATGGACGTCCTCAGAACGTACCATCCCGTACGTCTTCGGGACGTACAGAGCATACGTTTTCAGAACGTCCATTTTTTGTCTTAAAATTTTTTATATTCATCATTCACTCTATATTCATTATATTCTTCAATGATAATAAATCATTGCCAAATGATATCAAATGAAGTAGTAATAAGGCCCTTTGGTGTTGGCTGCCGATCATCTGCCGATTCATTTGATAATAGGTCACAATTTATCAAGTAATTTTTTGTGACCAATGTGAAGACATTGAAGTGTATCTGGCAATTTTTATTCTGAATAATGTATATCCAATCTTGGAAGGATATGCACATATTCTACGTCCTATATCTGATCAATCAGGACATTGAGTCTGTCATAGCGAATTCGTGTTTCTGCACTCAATGAATATCATGTTTCCTTCTTACTTGCATGTTTTGAACAGAGGTATGTCTAATGCTCCAATAAATGTTGTGTAGAGTAGTGGTAAGGGCATCTGCCTGGTAATTTTGTATTCAAATAAGATCGTTCTCTGCTCTGTATAGATTTCTTTTTCATCTATCTGAGTATGAAAGGGCAAATCTACGTTGATTCTGGTATTCGTGGCGATGAAATATCAAACTTGGGCCTAATATGGACGTCCCTGGGACGTTCTATCTTGTAACATCGTTCCCAGTACGTCCTATGGACGTCTCTCGACCGACCGACACTGGACGTCTTCCGGACATCTTGTATGTCCCAGATGTACGTCCTCCGTGTTATCTGGGTAAATATGAAAAACTCGCCATAAAAATCATATTTCGTATTGAATTTTCTATACAAAAATGTGTCATTGAAGTACATCATGAGTATATAAAGTGTCCAATGACAAAATAAGAAAGAGCAAGTAGCCGTAAATGCATCCAAGACAGGGAAAATAAAGGCGAAATTTCGAACTTTTTCTTGGAATATCTCGAGAAATAGAGGTTTGTTCACATTTTCATCATCAAATTCGTGTTTTCAGACACAAATACGTAGGTAACGAACACAGAAAAAAAACCATGGCATCAGCGCTTTTGCGCTCTCGCCTACCAGGCCGTTTGATAGGCGAGAGTTATCTCATGTACGAAATACATTCAGACAACCTGTATACAAAGCCGTGGACACACTGAATACATATTACCAGTTGAGGTGGAGGGGGAGCCTTGTACTTTTTCTTGCACCTTTTTTCTTTCATATGCAGATTCGAATCTGATGAATATCGCAGATCTGGCTCGGACACACATAGTTTCATCTAAAATAAAAATAGGTACTTCTCAATAATCAACGTGAGTCAAGATTTGATGATCGCTTCTTCATCCTCATACAAACATCCGTAAACAAATTTGGAATAAATCATGAGCCATATTCATAATTATTGGTAGATTTCTATGTATGGATAGAATTTTTATCGGTTAGGTACAGTCGTCTTCAGAGATCATGTCGCACATGGACGGTGTCAGCTCCCTTGATCACTGCTGCAATAAGAGCGCTCATACCGTCCAACCGCGACATGTTCGCTGAAGACGACTGTACCTATATATACGTTCCTACCTATTCGATAATATTATGCCAGTAAAAAGATAGATTCCATAATATGAGTTATATTTCAAATTGGGGAAGAAGGACTATATCATATACAAGATGAGTCAGAATGAAAGTTCTGATCAACGTATGCCTATCCTTTAATACTTCGTGTCTGAGATACAGGGTGACAAAATCACAAAAAATTGAGTTGATATCAATATCTTCGAAACCCGTTTAAAAGGAAATTGAGAGTCGTTATAACTACCATTCCAGATTTATATAATCACATTGAATTTTAATATTTGAGTTTGGCTAAGCAGTGGCGCAGTTTCTTAGACAGATGAAATGTCAAATTTCTGTATGACATTAGTTAGGCTCATCGATATCTAACCTAGAAATGATGACATTCCACATGCCTAAATGTAGAGGTTCCTGAGATATTTGTGAAAAACTAAAGATATGTTTTGAGGTATTACCTATTACCTATGTAATATTGCATTTGCTGGTACCATAATGGCTCTCTCACAGGATATCGATAAACTTTCCGACTTCTTGAATATATTTGGATGTTGAAAAAAAAATTAAAACAGTAAGGGTGAGTAAGTGGTAGATCGAGAAACTTCTTTATTGCTTCTTATTCCACACGTTATTTCAAGGTGAACAGTTTATATTGAGATATGTCTCAAAGTGCAATCTATCTGATATACAAATTGTTGAATGTGTGAAAAAAAATTAGCATCATCAGGTACATTTTTTCTTTAATACATCAGTGGTATTAGTATATTACATAACAAGAGTTGTAAAACTTATATTACGCACGAAGTGGAGAGAGTTACAACTCTACAAGTTCGTAATTGATTTAAAACTCGAGAAATGTACTATACTTTTTGTACGACTACACTATACATCCTGCAGGGTAGTACAGATATTGTGTCAAGACACAAATATCGGTTACGTCTCCCGTCACTATATGATCTGCATGAAGAGGTAAAAATTACAATTCTTGTATTTGTTTATTGGTGAATTGCATAACAAACTATTTTCCTCAATTTCGACTAGAATGTAGCCGGTTTTCATGACATAACAACTTTATTATAATAAAAAAATACATTCGATGAACATATAAAATTATTAAAATGGTTTATTATTCCAGATTTTTTTATGTTTTTTTCTCCTCGTTTTTATAAAATAAAAATATGAATATTATTTCAATATGCGTGTAGTAAGGACGAATCAGATGATTTGACCCAAAATGTCACTGTGTTCAAAGAATTTTCCTATCAGAGAGCCTAAATTGAAAATTCACCAGGTTGTCAGTAACAATTTGTATTGAAAAAGGTTTGAAGAAGAGAAATAAAGGCATAGGTATAGAAGAATATCACATTTTCACTTTTGGAAGTTTCGGGAACGACAATTGTCATTGAGAGTTGGGAAGTGTAAAGACGAATACGAATTTGCTATACAAATATTCATTTTTTATGTTGAACACAGAAATCTTTATTTCTCTTCTCCAAACCTTCTTCAAAACAAATTGTCACTGACAAGCTGGTGAATTATTTTTAGGCTCTCTGATAGGAAAATTCTTTAAACGCAGTGACATTTGGGGGCAAATCATCTGATTTGTCCTTACTACACGTATATTGAAATAATATTCATATTTTTATTTCATAGAAACGTGGAGGGAAATACCAAAAAATCTGGAATAATGAATGTACCACTTCCTCGACTAACCTACAGACAGTATTTCATTATAATGGTTATTAATAGTATATTGTGCAGCTGTTGAAAGTAACAAAATATTTTCCAAAAATGACCTAATTCCTAATTCTAATTCCTGAGTGATTTTTTGTTAGCGATATCGTATCTTTCACGAGACTTTACGGGTAGAAACTCATTTGTTGCCATTTTTGCTCTTTCCAGGATTTCTGGTGGTGTAGAAAATATTCTCATCGTCATCGCTTGACATTTTTCGACTGAAACTGAGAAATATCAACCGAAAATAATCATTTTTAAGAAATAATACTTGCCTGCATTTGGTTTCGAATGATACGAAGAAAAGATAAGTACCTACTTACTGAATGGTGTTTGCACTGATGCGCTTTTGTTTTGGCAGGTTTTGGCAAATCTTGACGACAATAAACAGTTGAAAATCACAATATAAGGTTGTTGTTGCATCTTATTCTAATAGATGTCGCTGTACGAATTCTTAAAATGAAAATAACTTACCACCAAGATTCGTACCATTCCAACAAAATAGTTCCAATCAAATTCCTTCGAATTTGAGATGTTATGAGCAAAACAATTGAAAAGAAATAACGTTTCTATTAGACATTTCAGGGAATTTTTGAAAATAACTATCCCTTTAACATATTCTTGGAAAAAATAAGAAATTAAATAGACTTTCCCATGGCCTGCTTGGAAAGTTTCGACGGAATTTCACGATATTTCTATGATGTGAAAGATGTGAACGATACTATGGTGACACTATTCTCGACATGTTCTCTTTGATTTCTACTCATGGCTGGATTGAGAATCAGTAATCGGTAAATGTATTACTAGAAGGACATTGAAGGAAAGAAAAAAGTGCTCAGAATGAAATGAAAATCGACAAAATAGAATTCAATCACTCTGCTCACAAGTATTCAGTCGCCAAAGTTATCAGATGGATATTGAGTTTGGTGTTCTATAACCTTGTAAAAATTCAACTTTTTCATTTATTCTTCTCAGACCAGCAATTCATTACATTGTTGTTCCATTATCAGTTGAAAAATCCTCAATAATCTACAAGGTGTCTCATTTTCATTGTCCTCACGGGATAACTTGATTATCGCAGTTTCCGCGAACTTTGGCCACTTTTTGTGAAACTCGCACGATACCGCAAACAACATTTTCATAGCCCGCTTCGGTTATGAGATACAGGGCGGAAAATATTGCATTGTGGGACCCCCCTTGTATCGAAGCTATCTTCCAACTTAAAGGAAAAGTAAAAACTGCCTCTTATTGCTATTTTACATGGCATTGGCAGATTAAATATATAGAGTAATGTTTTTTTATAGAACAGTGTAAAATTTTAAATGAACATAAATGTAGCGTTGAAATGAAGTGCCAAAATTTCACAAAATGGTTTTGTTGCTTTAATGTGGGCTATGCACTATCTTCTTTAACGTGAATAACGAACTATGCGATAGGACATTTATGTTCAGTGATACGGGGCTAAGTTCCAAATACTCTATATTCGAAGGTTTGTGTTAGGGTGAACGTTTTGCTTGTGAATAGGTTGGCGGTTATAAAAGTTTCGTCGATTATTGCTGATAAATAATCGAAAAGAGTAAATCTTTGGTAGAAGTCCATATTGTTCAAAGTGGAGTGAAATATTTCACAGGAAGGAAGGAATGCTCGAAGTCATCTCCACAAATTTTAATGATATTTTTAACTAATTCATGAGGGACATGTTTCGGTCTTATAAAAGACCATCTTCAGCCTAATTGAAAAGTCTACAATACAAAAACAAATGATATTGAAATGAAAAGATTACCTATTTTATGCTAGACTTACTTGGAGTTGAAAAAATTATTTTCTGCCAATGCCCATAGTCGAGAGTTCCAAAATGAAAATTGAATAAACGGGTTCTCAATAAATGAAGGGCCCCGTGCCCTGAGAGCGTATACTAAGTTTTATTTAAGAACATTTCATATACCCAAAATGGTATATGAAGGGTATTGTCAAACAATTTAATATCTGACAACACCATAAACTAGCGGGTTTTTAAAAAAGGGGTTCCCCGTTCCCTTAATAACGCCTTCATGAGGGAACGGGGAACCCCTTTTTTAAAAACCCGCTAGTTTATGGTGTTGTCAGATATTAAATTGTTTGACAATACCCTTCATATACCATTTTGGGTATATGAAATGTTCTTTAATAAAACTTAGTATACGCTCTCAGGGCACGGGGCCCTTCATTTATTGAGAACCCGTTTATTCAATTTTCATTTCGGAACTCTCGACTATGGGCATTGGCAGAAAATAATTTTTTCAACTCCAAGTAAGTCTAGCATAAAATATATAGGTAATCTTTTCATTTCAATATCATTTGTTTTTGTATTGTAGACTTTTCAATTAGGCTGAAGATGGTCTTTTATAAGACCGAAACATGTCCCTCATGAATTAGTTAAAAATATCATTAAAATTTGTGGAGATGACTTCGAGCATTCATTCCTTCCTGTGGAATCGAAAAGAGTGTTTCACCGGAAAAAAGACATAAGACAGCTGGGAGCAGACTACACAAAGAAAGGCAGACTAGGACTGGAACGCATTAGATTAGAATATTGAACGATTTCGAAGCTTGTATGTCGAACAGGGTTTTCAAAGAAAATGTTTCACAAGAAACTATTCGAAATAGGAAGCAAAATAATAAAGGGAGAACATCGAGGATACTTATAGATCAACTTGAATATATTTTTTTCTATTTCTTTATGTTCACAAATGAAAAATTCAAAAAACAATGTTTTATTTTTCTCTTTAACCTCTTTAAATCTCAAAATAAACATTGGTATGTTACTTAGCCCACTATAAGAAAAGATATTGATGGCACTCAGAACCTTCCACAAATATCATTGTTGCTTCAATTCAAATTTCTTTGAACCAGAGTAGGTACCTACATAAAAAAGCAATTAAAATTTTTGCTTATACCATGAGTTATTCAAAAAATCGAAAATATGTCATGTTTTATAAAGTTTATATCGAAAAGTGCCACCAGATATCCACCCGTTGAAAGTCGAATGCCCGATATGGTCTTCCGTCAACGCACCATCAGACGCATTTAGCTTGGTCTCGTAACGGTCCTGGAAAAAGTGTGCACCAGAATTAACACCGATTCTGCAAGTTATTCACCATCTCGTAAAAGCTGGGTGTTTTTTGATGGTGCAGGAAAATGGCTAGAGTCCAACCAATTCCCAAAAAAAAAAAAAACCTGCCCAACAACCATAGGCCTATTGCCCTGTTATCAGTTATCTCCAAAGTGATGAGGTTTGCAGTGGAGGGCTAAATGGACCCACTCACTTGTAACCTCTAAAGTGGAGTGAAAGCAATAGGACAGGACAAAATTCTTACAGTCCACTCCACCAAATCGAAGCTTTGAAGCTCCATCATCAGCGTTATTGTTACATAAGAGCACTGTTCTGGAGGAAAAAAGTTATGTTCACATATTCATATTATTGAAAAATGTTTTAGAAAAAAATAAAAAAGTTGAATGGGGACCGCAATTATTGCGGAACCCCTTTGTTAGAAAACTTTAAATTTCATAATTAAAGTAGTATTCAGATCAAAATCGAAAAAAGTCTTATCTGTTCATGCCGAACGGAATGAAATACATGATACACATCATTTGAAAATCGAAAGTTGGGGTCATTTCGCGTCAAACCGGGAGAACGGCAAATCGAATAGACATGTCAAAAAATGTTCATCGAACAATAATTCACCTCCCAAATTCTTTTCCGTGTATTCAATAATTGAAGAGCTTCCTTTAAGGCAGATCGCTTAATGTGGTGGTGGACGGAGTATCGTCTGATACCATAGCTATTAATTCCGGAGTTCCACAAAGATAAATTTTGGCACCGACGTTGGTCCCACTTCATATCGATGATTTGTTGGTAGTTTTCACTTGCCCTATCCACAGCTTTGCAGATCATAGTACTCTGAATACTGCTTTATCGTTCAGAATTCCCATTTCTTCTAAGGAAACTGAGAACTCACGACGAAGGCAGGTCAGCGCTGTCAATGATGATCTTGCTAGAATTACAGCCTGGGGAACCAACAACCTTTCTGAATTCAACACCACCAAAACTCGAGCCTAAATTTTCTGTAGAATGGCGGAATTCAGTATGCTTGATATATCAATGTCTGGTTCCACCATTTCCACAAATTCCACTATACAGGGTGTTTCAGACTCAAATGTACATACGATACCTGTAGATAGAGGACACTTCAGTGGTTCCAAATCACCCCCCATCGATATGTCTACCGTCATTCATAACTGAGATACAGGACGTTATCTTGATTTTGGCAAAATCTTCATCTGGTTATAACTTCTGAACCACTATGTATAATCTATCTATACTTGGTAGAACAATTTCACTTATATTACCCATCAAAACCAAATAAAAATCTGGATCAGAATCCAGAAAACTTCTTTTATCTCAAAAACAACACTTTGTATGGCAAAATTTCATAGATCGGTTTTGATATTTGGAAAGAGCGGAAAAAAGTAAATGAAGGGACCTACTTTTTACGAGTGCGCATCCAATTTGAAAGTTGGTTTATTGAACTCATAATTCAAAACCCAATTTTAATACAGAAAAATAACAGTCTCCAAAGTTCAACATCATTAGAATCAAACAGGTGAACTATCGATAAATTTGTTTGATTGACAGAATAATTTGTCGATGATTTCAAAAATTTTCGAGGACTCATTTTATACTATACTATTTATTCATAAGCTGCGGAAAAGTAGGCTTTGAAAGAAAAATGAAAATTCTGACAGTTCATAATCACTAGTTGCGATATTATCGGTAAAGTTATTGTAGGCATAATTATGAACACTATTGAAATGTAACAACCCAATACAAGCACCAGAAACAATTATCTTAACATTACCAATAATATCACACTAGTGAATATGACCTGTCAGAATATCAGATTTTTTTCTACAGCCTATACTCAACCGCAGCTCGTGAATTAATAGTGGAGAATAAAATGAGCCCTCAAAAATGTATGATACCTTAGACGAGTTATTCTGTCACAACAAATATATCTATCGATAGTTCACCTGATTTGACTCTAATGATGTTGAACTTTGAAGACTACTATTTTTTTTGTATTAAAATTGAATTTTGAATTAAAAGTTCAATAAAAATGCCTCGAAATGGAGCTGAATAGTGAATATTTCAAAACATGATAATAAACCATCTGTCAAATTGGATGCGCACTCGTAAAAAGTAGGTCACTTATTCCATTTCTTCCCGCTCTTTCCAAATATCGAAACAGACCAACACAATTTCGCCATACAGACTGTTGTTTTTGAGATAAAAGAAGTTTTCTGTTTTTCCTGAAAACGGACCTGGATTCTGATCCGGATTTTTATTTGGTTTTGATGGGTTATATAAGTGGAATATTTCTACCAAGTATGGATAAATTATACAAAGTGGTTCAAAAGTTATAACCGGGTGAAAATTTTGCCAAAATCAAGATAACGTCCTGTGCAGTTTTAAAAGACGGTAGACATATCAATGGGTGGTGAATTGGAACCACCGAAGTGTCCTCTAGGAACAGCTATCGTTTGTACATTTAAATGTGAAACACCCTGTATTTATGTTAAGTATTTCCGTCAGCAATACTCTTTCATGGCTGCTCCAAAAAAACTTGGATTTTTATTCCATGGGAGAATTTTCTTCACACCTAAACAGCTCCTCATGATCTACAAAGCACATATACGGCCTGTTGTAGAATACTGTCCCCATATTTCTCGATATGTTCCTCAATATGTTTTTTCTCATGTTCATATTATATCTGAAAATATTCCTTTTCAATAATTCATGATATCAAAACAACGAAAAATTAAGAACACAATTTCGTAATATATCTCAACCATATCTGATATCACTTCAAATGGAGTGAAAAGAGATAAAAACGAAATCGCAGATCGGTTTTTTTCAAATATCTTCGGAAGTATTTGGAAATTTCAAACTGCATATTGATCAGCATCAAATTGCACATCTTTGCCTTGATCTAATCGACTTTGTATCTCTTATGGTTAGAGAGATCCCAATGATACCCCTCGAATATGGAACACCCTGTACAGTGAATATATAGATTCAACAAAACGGTTGTGGGCGAACGTTTTTTTCAATTCAACAAACTCTTCCACTTCACTACAGAATCAACCCAAGTTTCTCTTTCAGAAAACACTGTACTATATCAAAGTTTACAGAATTTAATTCTGTAAACTTTGACTATATTGACCGAATTGCAGACTATAGTACTCTCCATACTGCTTTGTCGTTCAGAATTCCCATTCCTTCCAAGGAAACTGAGAACTCACGACGCAAGCAGGTCAACGCTGTCAATGATGATCTTGCTGAAATTACAGCCTGGGGATTCAACAACCTTTCTGAATTCAACACTACCAAAACTCAAGCCTAAATTTCCTCTAGAATGGAGGAATTTTATACTTGATATACTTGATATATCAATGTCTGGTTCCACCATTTCCACAAAGTCCATTATATTTATGTTCAGTATTTCCGTCAGAAATACTCTCTCATGGGATAATTATATCAGATCCATTGCGAAAGCTGCTTTTTATTTCATGGGATAATCTACTTTACACCTCAACAGCTCCTTATGATCTACAAAGCACAGATACGGCCTGTTCTAGAATACTGTTCCCATATTCCTCAATATGTTCCTAAATTTTTTTTTTATGTTCAAATTATATCGGAGAATATTCCTTTCCAATAATCCATGATATCAAAATAACGAAAAATTCAGAGCACTATTTCATAATATATCTCAGCCATATCTGATATCACTTCAAGTGAGGTGCAAAAAAAAACGAAGTCGCAGAAATTCGTTTTTTTTTCCAAATATCTTCAGACGTACCTATTCGGAAATTTCAAACTGCATAATATTGATCAGTATCAAATTGCGCATCTTTGCTCTGATCTTTTGTATGATACCCCTCGAATTTGGGACACCCTGTACAGTAAATTTATAGATTCAAATAACCAATACGGTTGTGGGCGAACGTTTTTTTCTTTAATTAAAAAAATTCTTTCACTTTACTACAGAATCAACCCAAGTTTTTCTTTCAGAAACACACTGTACTATAGTGGGCTATATTCTTGACTAAACCACAGAGTTCGTGGCTTTATATGCCAAATACTTCATAACTACCTATCTTCTGGGACCATTTTTATTGCACACTTGGTTAGATTTCTCTTATTCGCTAAGGAGTGCCGATTCAGGAAAGTGATGATTACTGACCTGGCCATTTAGGTTATTCTTTTGACTAGAAGCATTCTGGTTGAGCTTGTGTTGGACCCCCTGAGCCCTGGATTTATACTGGGTTTCTTTTTCTTTGGGAAAATATTTTCTAGCTGCAGGACTATGTTCTCTAAATCCATGTGATGAATATTCATTCTGAAAAAAATTAAAAAGATTCATTGTTACATCAGGCAGGGCTGAACAAAATGAAAATCCAATTGTTTTCAAGCATCTTTCACATTTTACACAACGTATATTGATTTCAATATCAAGTATTTGATACTGCACATGTCAATAATAGCGTCAAGTAGGTATAAATTCTTAGGAATGAATATTGCTAAAAGTTCATCCCAAAAACTTGGTTTTCTGTTTCGGATCAGGAGCTATTTCACTTCCAGTCATTTCACTGCTTATGATCTATAAGGCACGGATCCGACCTGTCCTAGAATACTGTTCTCATATTTGGAGTGCAGCACCCAAACATACCCTGAAACTGTTGAATTCGCCTCGTGGGTGATGCCTCGCTCACGAACTCACCCACTTCTTTGGAACACCGTAGAAAAGTTGGCGATCTGGCTCTATTTTATAGATATTTTCATGGGAGATGCTCTTCTGGAATATCAAAAATCGTTCCTCCCTTGGCAGTCCCCGCGTGATTAACCCGTCGAGTTGAGACTTTGCACCCCTTCGTGGTCACTTTGGAGACCTGCAGAACATCTCTTTCCAAAGACTCGTTCATCCAACAAACAGCGAGGCTCTGGAACACATTGCCAAGGGAGGTGTTCCCCGAGGCATATAACCTCCAGAAATTCAAAAAGAACACCAATTCCTACTTCATTTCCCTTGGTTCTCACGATATTCTCTGAACATTACAGGATATTCCTTTTCGTGGGATCCAGAACATAAAAAAAGCTTGCTTGATAATTGATAATCATATCTAGCTTATAAAGCAAGACGAATTGATATTCATCGTACAGGTCGTGGAAAGAAATTCTGAATTGAGAAAACCCAATCATTATTCAAGATGATTTTGCTTATTGAGAAGATGATGTTGCTTCTTGAGCCCCTGAGTAAAATGGAGAATATTCATACTGGCCCTCTAGCGCTTTCGTTTTGTGCTGGGAGTTCCATTTTCCGATAGATGAAAGGTTCTGAACTTTCAACTTACCTTCTTATCGTCAAGTGACTTGGGCTTCCCGGTCAACGTACCGCCAGAATGAAGAATATCACCATTATTGGTTGATTTCAACTTCAAATCGCCGTCTCTGTCCGGCAGCACTTTGTGCTGGTAACCGAACTTGGTAGTCTGTGTCCGCGGAAACGAATGTGCCCACTGCTCTTCTGGTATCTCACGCTGACTCACTTGATTTGGGTGGCTCCCACTGTTGCCCATGCTAAATATTTTTCATGTGGAACATATCTGAAACGAAAGAATAACATGATGATAACTGTTCTGAAATATCCTTCCCGGGAATAATTCACTGTTTCTCGTGATCACTCTAGTTCGATCATCTCATCCATATCTGTACTAAAATTATGATCAAGAGGAAAGATTCGATTGTTTGTTTGTTTATTTGTTTGTATTGAATAGGCTCCGAAACTACTGGACCGATTTGCAAAATTATTCCACCATTAGAAGCCGACATTATTCCTGATGAACATAGGCTACTGTTTACTGTATTAAAAATCGAGAGACCTGGTGGCCGGTCCAAGCAAGCCAAAGACGGCTTGGTTACTGGGCAGGGATCGCCAAGTCCTGCGCCTTCTTATAGGGATACTGACAGGGCACAACAGGTTACGCAGACACATAGTCCCACTTGCCGTGAATGCGGAGAAGATGAGGAGACATCACTTCACTTCCTCGGAGAGTGTGAGGCGTATGGAAGGATGAGATTCGAAATCTTTGGAGTAGATAAACTACAAAAGGAAGATTTGGTCGAATTAGAGTGGACGGACATCCTGACCTTCATCAGAAGGACGGGAAGGTTCAAAAAGGACAACTAAAAGAGGAATGTGTAGATATGTGGAGAGCAGGGGTTGGCAAAAAGGGCCCATGGGGGCCTACTTGCCTGGCTACAGCCTCCCCACAGTACTACTACTACTACTACTACTTACTGTATTAAAATGCTTCATTCGTAGGAAAAAACATGTAATAGGGCAACAAGCAGTAAGAATTATCCTACTACTACTACTACTACTACTTACTGTATTAAAATGCTTCATTCGTAGGAAAAAACATGTAATAGGGCAACAAGCAGTAAGAATTATCCTTCCGTACTTATCTTTTTCACATAACTAGCCACTAAAGTATTTGTTTTCTGTCGAATATTCAGAATGATATTATATGCATATCTTTATATGAAGGAGAATGCAAATTCTCTTCTTCAGAAGATTTTGTTTTTTTTTTAACTTATCGTGTGTCTTCAATATATATGTAATTCAATATTTGTCGTGGCATATAGCCAGGAAAGTAGTTGTTTTCTGTTGAATAAACCAAGAAAGAATTAATATTTTCATCACATGGAGAATGCGAATTCTCAATGTATTTCTTTATATATATATATATACAGGGTGTCCGCTAAAAGGAGGTCAATCCATTAACCATATATTCCTTGAACAAAAATAATATGAGTTTCTAAATACCATTTTTCATTTTAGCCCTTCTTATTCGATATACAGGGTGTCAAAGTTGAAAATTAAAAACTGTTTTTTTCTAATTACTCGCGTAATTAATAAGATATCAATCTCAAAATAGGTACCTACATTACTTCAGCACAAAGAGTTACATCGTGTGAGGAAAACAAAACAGAAAATAACTGCCAAATATTCAAAATACTGGGGGTCAAGTACACACTTACCCTCATATTTTTTTTGTACGTGCGCTTATGACTTCCTATCTATTTTTCTTCATGTGTTCAATCATTTTTGAGTATTTTTTGATTTTTGTAAAATTCCGATAAAATTATTTGTTTTTAAGATAATTCGAAAAGTACTGGTTATTGTTTGATGCCTTGCGGCTTACGGTAATCTCATAATGTTCACATACTCCTATTTATTTCGTCGAAATTGGAAGAGGGCGTATCTTATTACGTACGGAAAGGTGAATATGGAAATACCGGGTGCTCAGAGTGAATGTATTAAAATAATTTTTACACTTTTTAATTTTTTTTTTTTGTAAAAATTATTTTAGTACATTTGCTCCGAGCACCCGGTATTTCCATATTTACCTTTTCGTACGTGAAAAGATACGCCCTCTTTCAATTTCGACGAAATAAATAGGAGTATGTGAACATTATGAGATTACCTAAGCCGCATAGGCATCAAACAATAACCAGTACTTTTCGAATTATCATAAAAACAAATGATTCAATCGAAATTTTACAGGAAACAAAAAATACTCAAAAATGATTAAACACTTGAAGGAAAATAGATAGGAAGTCATTAGCGCACGTACAAACGAAATATGGGGGTAAGTGTGAACTTGACCCCCAGTATCTTGAATATTTGACAGTTATTTTCTGTTTTGTTCTCCTCACACGATGTAACTCTTCGTGCTGAAGTAATGTACCAATTTTGAGATAAATATCTTATCAAATACGCGAGTAATTAGAAAAAAACAGTTTTTAATTTCCAACTTTGACACCCTGTATACCGAATATGAAGGGCTAAAATGAAAAATGATATCGAGAAACTCATATTGTTTTTGTTCAAGGAATACGTGGTTAATGGATTGACCTCCTTTTAGCGGACACCCTGTATATATATATATAATTTTTTTTGTGTTCATAAATATATTTGAGAATATTCCTTTTCAGTGTAGTGTTTGTTTTGCAATGTCCTACCTATCCTAGCAAACGGAGCCACCTTTTTTTAAACACTCTGTATATAAATGGTCTTTATGTGATTAGGATCTTCTCACCTAACTGTAGGTGTACTGTTCAATTCACAATAATATTCAAGTTTGACCAAATGGATATCTTACTGTTATCTCAACCTACTTTTTTGATAAATATTTCTTTTCATCTCTTGGAGCGCACGAAAGGAAATTCCTATTATCTTCGTGGAACATCAGGCGTTACTAGGGAGGATAGAGCGAGGAGGTAGATGGTGGACTTTTTTTTAAAACTTTTGGAGGTAATGAGTTCTTGAAATACTTCCATTGGCAAAAATTCCAAAGCTTCGCCGTTCTATAGACGAACGAGCTTTGGTAGAGTGTTGTTCGACATATTTCAAGGTGAACGACCAAAGGATGTGCTGACTGGGCCTGTCGAGTTCGTCTGACTGGTATTGCTAGTGATGGAATTATAGCAGATATTTCTGAGGAACATTTCCCGTGGAAGTATCTATAGAACAGTGAAAGGTCGCCAAAACCTCTACGGCGAATTGCTCTTCTCTGGATGGGATCTTAGAGCATCGGCGTATGTTTGGGTGCTGAACCCCATACATGGAAACAGTATTTTAAAACTGACCGTATCTCTGCTTTGTAGATCAAAAGAAGCTGTTGAGATGTGATGTAAATTTTCGCAGGGAACAAGAATCCGAGTTTTTGTGAAGCAACTTTTGCGATGGATCAGACATTCAATTTTCCCATGGGAGAGTATTGCTGATGGTAATATACCGAGCATAGATATAGTGGTCTTTATATGAAAAAAACTCATACTAATGATTTATTTCTTTGAGATTTGGATTTGGATTCGAGTCAAAGTTGGGGGTCTTTTCTTTCTTCTTTCGCTATACCTGTTGAAAGTTTTTTTTTTAATAAATCTCTTGGAATAGGATTATTTCTTCGAATTTTAGGAAAAGAACAGTAAAAATTTGCTCCTGTTCCGATATAAAATATTATATTGAGACATTTTTGAAATTTGGGGTCCTGATGGTAACGATCTACCTGAGCACTGGACAGTTGTTGATCTCAATTTAAGTGGACCTAATACCGTCTGAGATATATTTGTATGAGTCAGTTGGACAACTATTGTATTTTGGAAAGAATTATTTCAAGTTCTAAGTTCATTTATTTATGTAGTTTGTACTGAAATTACAAATGTCAAGAATATAATGTACCTACCTTCAATTTGTATCAATGTTTTTTCTCTTCTAGAACCACCATCCTTGTGTAATACTTTGAAAGTATGAAATATTTCTCGCCCCAATATTCATCAAGCATATATCCAAATTAAACTATATATAACAGCTTTCAAATAATTGAGTCTGTAATGTTGATATATGATGAATTGCTACCAAACATAATGATTTAATGTTTCGCATTTATAGTATTTTGTTCTGCAGGAATACATAATTATGTGGCCTGCATCAGCGAAAGAAATGGACCAGAAACGATCACTTTGATTCCCGATATTTAATGTTTTTCATGGGTGCACTTGATACTCGCAGAAAATATTTAATTTTCTTTGTATTCAACCATCCAGGCCATCCAAAATCATGAATCAGAATGACTGTTTCTGCACACCCTAAATATTCCAATTGAATTGCACATCTGAGATAATTGAATCATGTTCCCGGGACATCTTCGTGGACGATGCCCGGGACAAGTAATTTATGGACCAATGGCAAACAGATAATATTTATTTATTCATTTATTTATTTATTTATTTATTTATAGATACAACTTACAGACACCATCTAAACAGTATTTAAATGTAAGTGAGTGCTTATCACTAGCCTGACACACAAAAAAAACACAAAAACACTAACAGTAAACCTTAAATAACTAAAACCTGTCCATACAAATCTACCTAAAACACTTTTTAATATCCAGAACTGTACAGTTCAACAAATCTAAGTTAAAGTCCCTTGATAGAATATTGCACTGATTTTGCATATAATTTATTGGAGAACTATTAAAAGGACTACAAGAAAAGAGATCACAATTGTTTATTCTAAGGTTTATCTTTGGTACATGAAACTCTAAGAAGTTTATTAAGTAGCATGTTTTATATTTATAATTATTCACAACACTATGCAAGAACAAGACACAATGCATATTTCGTCTTTGATGTAATGTTTGGAAGTTGAACATTTCAATCAGATTTTTAGTTGGCATAAGATAAGGAAACACTTTATATCTCTTGAAATATAAATACCTCAAGAATCTTTTTTGTACCCTTTCAATCAAAGTGATGTTACTTTCAGCTTCAGGGGCCCATATTACTGATGCATATTCAAGATTTCTGGAATAATTGTAATATGTATAGGTTTAGTAATTAGAGTATGAACCAAACATCAGTGAGATATATTTCAGAGAATAACACCTATTTTTCTGCAACAACATGCTTTTTTGTCCGTGGCAACTACATAGTATTGAAAATCTATCAAACTGTTGAATAACTATCATCAAAGTGTGAACCTAGAACAGGTGAGGAAGGTTCTATAAGATAATGTAGCAATATTTCGAAGGAAATT